TGATGCGCTGCATTAGATATATGATTCATTTCTTTTTTAAAATGTCCAATACGATTTCATTGGAGATTGACATGCATATGATATATGCCCACTATTGACGTATACACTAATCACAATTTTATACGTACATAGATAGTAATATTAAATTAGTTTTTTCCCATTTTATTGAAAAAGTTAATTTATAGATTTGTGATAATTTTGGGTCAACTTCAGCCTATATTTGGTGAAAATTAAAATTCAAATTTTAATCCAACTGAAAATCAACAATTAATTTTAATCACACAATTCATGAAACCCAAAACTTTTTAACCACACATTTTATTAAGAGTGTGTTTGATTAACTTTATTTTTCATGAAAAATGTCATTTTTCCACAAATTCTTACTTTTGAGGTGTTTGATCGACAATTTTCCCATAAAAAATATTTTTCAACTTTTGATCATGTGACCAAGGGCGGGTAGATAGTGGGTCATGGGGCACAAGACCCACCAATTTTTCACAATTTGATTTTGAGGAAATTACACCCAGTCCTGATTTTAGATTTCCATTTTTACAAATCACTTTACAAGTTTAACTTTTCAAAAAGCAGGTTTTTATATTTAATTTAATATTAATTATATAATTTTTATCTCAATTAAAATAACCCAAATCAACCCTAAAATTCTCTCCCCTCTGCCCCATTATCTCCTCCCCATCTCTCTGTTTAGAAATCGCCGCCCAACCCTACCTACCTACCTCCCTCCCTCCCCCCTACCTCTCTCTCTCTCTCTCTCTCTCTCTCTCTCGCTGAGAGCGTCGACGCCTCTCGAAGCTGTCGGAGTTCGGAACAGCAGCAGCACCACCACGTTCCGCCACCGAGCCGGTGACTCACCCTTGTTGCAATAGCACGGTACAACCTCAATCTCCACCCAACATCGTGTCGCTGTACATCTTCCACCCTTGCTCCCCCATCTTTTCTTTTCTAGCTGAAAAGTTAAAATCCCTAATTGTGCCATTTCAAATTTGATTTCTCCAGTTCATAGCCAAATTCATCCAGCGGCGCTGCACATGCACCTGCGCGCCTTGCACGACGTTGGGCACATCACCATAGCCTCGCCGCTACGCGCAGTTGAGACGCTACATTCAGATCCGTTCTTTTTTTATTTTTTTTGAATGGTGTGGTGACTGTGGAGGTGTGCGGGTGCGGTGGTGATGCGATAGTTGTGTTTGAGGTGGCGGTGCGACGGTGATGCGGTGGGTGAGTGGTGAGGTTGTGATGGAGATGATGGTGATTGGGCCAGATCTGGTTGATGGTGGTGGTGATGTTGGTGGCCATGTTGTTGTGTTGTTGTTATTGTTGGATTTGAAGTTGGTGGCGGCGGTGGTTGTGTGTAATTTTGTGTGTTTTGTGTTGTTTTGGCTGTGCGTGTGGCGATGGTGGTTTTGGGTGGTGATAGATATGTTGGGGAGGGAGTGGTGTTGGTTTTGAGATGTTGATGTTTCTATTGGGCGGTGTTCGCTTGAAAATAATGTACCGCAAGTGCACGGGTCGCGTTCAAGTAATAAAGTGGACTTTTTGAGTCCGGGTTGTCGATCCCTCGAGGAATGCTTACTTTTAATTACACAAATTTAGTTAATTTAATTTTGACAATAAGAACA